ATTTGTTTTAATCTTATATCTAGTTGCACTCTGAAGAAAATTAGCAAAACTCTTGCCTAATACACTTGACGTACCAGTGCTGTGAAGACAGGGAGCATTCTATTGAATCTTCATGGTATGCCTTCCTCAGATTCACTGTGCTGTATATGTGCATTAATTTGTCAAATTGATTTGCAGTGATTGACACAGATTTTTTTTTTTTTATGGGAGAACTGAGAAAGCTGTTAGCCAGTTATATTGCTGGATTGAGGTAATAATTGGAGATTATTATTATCAATATATTAAAATTAAGCCATCTTTTAATGTTTTTCGGAAAATGCTGGAAAGTCAAAGATATTCCTACAAAGCACCATGCTCATTCATTTGGTTATCAGTGGAAATTTAATTTATGTATATATAAAATGTTAATCGCATCCTAACATCAGTAGACTAAGTTGCATTTATACTTTTCCATGACCTGTTTTTTTTGAACTTAAGTTTTATATTGGCTCTTGGCTCGTGGATTAGTTGACATACTCTTAAGTTTAATGAAGAAGAATAATGCTGAGCCTGGCCCATGTACACACGCAGAGCCAAAGTGATCTGTCTGAATAGACAGTAGTCATTTTAGATTATTTTAATTTTTTTTCTCTTTTGGGAGGAAAGCAAAAGAAAAACCAACATGTATGTGGGGAAACGAATGGTAGCATTTCTTAATTTGCTTAGTGAAATTGTGATCTTATTCAAATTAGAGCTTTTAATACATTTGCCTCTCCCCTGTTACCAAAGGGGAAATAATCCCCCCTTTCCTTTTGATAATCCGTCAAGTATACTTGGTTTATTTTAGTTATCCTATTTAGTGAAATTGGCCCATGCTTCGTTTTTTTTCTGATATATTCATTTGGACTTCTATCATAAAGTCTTTAAAGGCCAAAAAAAAAAAAAGGTTTTGTAATTTTCATATATAAATAAAATGGTTAGTGAAATTCTTTCTCTAAGATGTTTATGGATATCCGGAGACTGATTTTGGCAAATCTGACATTATTACCAGGCTATCATCTTTAACCTAGGCTAGTGCATTTGAAATGAGATATTTAAAATATAGAGAACATAGCATGATGAAATAAGAGCCTAATAAAATGTGTTTGGGCCAGCATCGAAACTCTTTGAAATAGGATATCTAAATAGTGTGCATTTTATCTCGGAGAGGCTTGGGTTTGTTGCAGTGTCCAGATGACTATTAATAGGCTTTGTGCTCTGGAGCATATGTTAATAGAAGGGATCATTTTGGATTAATTTGATGTGAATTAATAAGAGATTTATTTGATGGGAGTTGTTTGAAGGTGATGACATTTAAATCTCAACAGGATTTAAGATGTCCAAAAATACCTTTAAAGATTCAGGATCAATCAATTCAGAGGGCAAATGAAATAGACATGGATAGCAAGGAACAGGATCAGACGTTGAGTGTATGAAGTTTGGAGCCGTTTACATGAAAAGCCATCTACCAGTGCAGTATTGCCCTAGAATCTGAAGAAATGGAAAACATTTAAACTCCCTCAGCAATTCTTGGGTTTGTGAATTGGATAAACAATGTTCTCTTGCATTTTATAGTTCACTTAAGCAATCTGATTTTGATCTGTATATATGGAGTAGACAGCATTCAAAGTTTTTTCCCTAAACCAATGAGCAAACACATATGTTCTTGAAAAACTGAACTTTATATGTTGTTCATATGGAAACTATCTAGTTTGCTATAGGCCCCATATTTGACCTTCCTTTTATTTTGCTATCACTTGTTTAATTCTTTAAATTCCTTGTGGGAGACTTTTGATCAAAAGAAACAACTTGCTGTTCTCCCCCCCCCCCCCCCGTGCCCTGCTTCTTTTATTTTTTAAATAAAAGCTTCATGATATGTGTATCTAATAACTCAGAACTCCAAGGCGGTTGATATAAACAGGCATGGAAGAGAGATATATTAAGGAGAAGACTATCATGTCTCCTTTGTACTCAGCTTTGATTTCAAACAGTTGATAGTTTTATTGTATGGAAAACAATAGGAAAATGTCATGTGGTATTATATACTATGATGATAAGAACTGCTACTTGTAATACAAATCATACTCAACAGGATTTGAGACTGAGGTCACCTTACGCCCTGGCTTGCTTCCATCACTTTTTAGCCTTGTTCAGGATATATGTATTTGGAATGATATTTGAAAAGATACTCAAACGTTTGAATCTTCTTTGAGAAAGAGGGGTTTCTTGTAGTTCTTTTCTTTGCTTTTTAAAAATATCTGTCTCAAATTAATGATGACTAATACAATTAAAGTCCTCTCCCTGAATGTGTTTGGCACATAGCTGATGCTGGATATACATTTATTTGAGTGAATGAATGAATGTTAGAGGCAATATCTAACTGAGTGAATGGTAGACATCAATGGGATTTCTGCTGCCCTTAGTTGTTGATGGTTTAATATGTAAAGTCTTTTAAGGATATTGGATAAAGGTTTTCAAAGGGAAAATATTAGAAAGGTTTTTCTGAAGTGCCTAAGCCATTCATCAGAACCATTATCGAGTCTTAGAGGCAGGGCGCAATTTAAAAATAATTTATTGTAATTCCCTTGTTATAGGGATAAAAATAGAGGCTCAAGCAAAGGGAAGAGGCCTGGTCACATCAACAATGATTTGAGTCAGATTCAGAAACTGGACGCATAACTGCTGTACCATTCTTCCTCCTTAGGTTTGATTCTTTACTTTGTTTAGGACCAAGATGCTACTAAGAACATAGAATTTATAGTTTTTACCTTCAAGGAGTTTCTCATCTAATGGAAATACATCCTAGTTCTCTCTTGCATTGGATGTATGTGTGAGCTCAGTTCTTTTTTTTTTTTAATTTCTGTGAAAGTTGATTTTTTTTGGTTAAATAATTCATTTGATTATCTATTGCAAGATTTTTTGGAGCATGTGTATTTCACAACTGTGTGTGTGTGTGAAATAAAAGTAAGTTCGTTAATGGTTAATTCACAACATCTTGGTAATAATGGAAAACTCAGATTCCTTTGCTCTGAAGGTGCCATTCTGAGAACGTGAGTCACAGTCTTCTACAGAAAAAGGATTTTATTCTTACATTGTAATCAGAGAGATAAAGTAGTTACCATAATTATATTTTAAGCTGTAATGCTGATTATTTCCTCCACATAAACCTGTCTAAATGATACTGTAGCATAGAAATAGTACAGGATCCTATTGTTTTTTTTAAATAACAAACTCTTGTATTAAAAAATGCAGAGAAAGCTTTTAGATTTAAGTTTTAATTTAGAAGGAAATAATTAAGAGTAGGGATTTAGATTTTTGCAACTGGAATGTCTTACATCTCAGTAATGAAAATTAATACAAAAGAAGCATTTTTTGAGAAGCTAAATATATTTTAACCTGTTTAAATATCTTGGCACATAATATGCATTCAGGTATACCAGCCTCCAAAGGGGCATTCATGTGTTTGTGTCAGTGGGTAGTGATATAAATGTGGGAATGCTCACTGCCCCCGGGCCCTCAGGTCAGTTTTGTTATCTCATATTCCATAAAGGACTGAAATTAGTGCCTGGCCAGTGTTGCTCAGTGGTTCAGCATCGACTCATGAACCAGGGGCATATGCCTGGGTTGCAGGCTCTATTCCCAGTGTGGCGAGTGTAGGAGGCAGCCAATCAATGATTTCTCATCATTGATGTTTCTGTCTCTCTCTCCCTCTTCCTTTCTCTTTGAAATCAATTATATATATATATTTAAAGTACTGAAATTAGCACCCTTGTAGCTCTCATTACATTCTTCAACTCCTCTTTATCCGAGTCACTTTTAGCCCCATTATGTAAACCAGTGATGGCAAACCTTTTGAGCTCGGCGTGTCAGCATTTTGAAAAACCCTAACTTAACTCTGGTGCCGTGTCACATATAGAAATTTTTTGATATTTGCAACCATAGTAAAACAAAGACTTATATTTTTGATATTTATTTTATGTATTTAAATGCCATTTAACAAAGAAAAATCAACCCAAAAAATGAGTTCGCCTGTCACCTCTGACACGCGTGCCATAGGTTCACCATCACTGATCTAAAAGGTCGTTTATAGAGGGCCTACTGCAACTGGTATTTTTAATTTCTTTTTAGAGTCAGTCTAGCAGAATAAAAACACGTTTAAAATGGGGTTACCAAATTCAATGTGATTTTATATACATATATGTATAGGTATATATTTACTTACATAAGTGTATATATTTATATTTATGGTACAGCTGATTAATTTATATGAAGACCATTAATGCAATATCTGCCTCTCTAATTTATTCCGATAAAAATGATGATATAACGGGGGTTTCAAGCTGGTTCAATCACGACTTGGTAAGCTTACTGTAGCCAGAGTGAAAATAGAAGACTATTGCAAATAGCTAGAGAGAGAACACACGTCACAGCGCTCAATGTTTCTGTAACTCTTGGTCAGGCTTACGTGGGTCTGAAGCAGAATTGCTGATGGCATTGCACTGGCTTTTCCCTCAGCCGCATGGCATATGCACTGGGTACAATGAGTCTGCAAGGGACTGGCCATGGGTGCCACTTCTCCTCAGCCGTGACTGTGCAGTCCCAGCAATGCACTTGTTATCTCTTCTAGAAGCATGCCCCTCCATGTTTACTAATTAAGGTCTTTTATCCCTGCCCTAACGTAGGTAAGTATTATGATGCTTAGAGTTCAGAGGGTTCTAGAGGTTCCATGATTTCATCAACATCCTGGGCTGCTGTGAAAATGACTTCCATTCCCTTTCATGTCGTGTTCCTGCTTCTCCTGCCACTTGATGAAAGCCCATGGGGCTGGAGGTGATCTTGCTCAAGATTTGCTTGTGCTTTTTATCAGGTGTCTTTCAAGCAGCCTGCGGCGCTGGCATGGGAATGTATTTTCTGTGTGATACATTGAAGTGTGTTTACATCACTTAGGAAGGAAAATATTTTTGTTTTGCTTTGTTTTGCAGATGTACAGATCAGCTCTCAAAATGTCTTCTGTGTCTTCCCAGCGTCTTCTCAGACAGTTGCGTTAGCCTCCTGCTAGTTGACTAATAGGATTAATACTTGTAGAAAGCATTCTAAAGCCACATGCCTTATGAAGTCAGTGCTGGGTATGACTTTACAAGTATGTGATCTATTTTTTCAAGTGAAAATGTTAACTGGAAAAGTTCTTGGCACACAGTGAAACATCGTGCAATCTGTTATTTGTCTTAAAGATAATAACTGGAGGGTGGCTATAGTCCTTCGGCATCTAACTTATGATTTGTTAGGGGAGTTTCTTCCACTTAGAAGTATTGCAAATGTGCTTATATTTACATAATATGTCATTCTGAAAAATTATGGTGATATAATTCCAGTAGAAAATTATATTTTTTTTCTATAGCTACTTCAAAGTGTAGTCAACTAAATTAACCAGGATATTTTCTTTTAAACCCAACTAAAAAGATCAGGCCCCTTTCCCCCACTACAAAAAATAAAACCAAAATGACCTTTCTGAGACTTCTTTGAAGTTTTAGCAGTTAACATTCTTTGTGATATATATTATTAAGAGCTCTATTCAACATAAGGAATCAGTGAGTCATATGGGTTCTAAAGGTCTGTTTTTGGGTAGAGGAAGGAGCTGAAATTTGAAAGAATGATAATTTAATTAAATCACATTTTCCCTCAGTCACTGTAGATGCTGGTTGAGAAGTATTTAAACTATGACCCTTACTTTTCTTCACAATCACAATAAATGAGCACAATCCACTGTTTTTGTTGTTCTGAAAAACAAGTTACTTTGTTCAATATAAACATATTTATATATATATATTCACTTTAAGTACTTTATCTTCTTTCCCTTGCTATGTAAAATGCTGCTGGCTTTTCTAATTACCTTGACATTACTATATATTTTAATTTTCTCTTAATCTAGTGGAAGGAGAGTCTTAATGAATTGGAATATTTTATTCTCATTTCTTCATGAACCCTGCCTTTCAGTTAGATTTTTATCTTTTTTTTGTGTAACTTTATTAATTTCACTTTGGTGCATCCTTGCTAGATTTTATTTATCTTAAGGGAGAAGTATCAAAATTTAAATGATGTGGCTTTTCAGTATTTGTCCAAGCAAAAATTAAATTGCAGTATTACTAAAGGCATCATGTGCAATGGAAAAAACACACAGGAAGTTCAAGAGGGAAAGGCAGACAATGGCTGTGCCAAATCACCACATTGTTACATGTAGGGATGGCCGATGCTCCATAATTTAGAATGTTTTAGTGTGCAAACTAAGTTTAAAAGGTATATTTTTCCTACTCAAACTCTTGTGTTTTAAATGATTACTGATTTCTTAAGCTTCCCTCTTATTAATTAGTTGTCCTTTTCTTTACTACCAGTAAAATGGCTCTCAAGTCTTCCATGTGTTGGTACAAGTTCCTAACTTCTACCACTTCCCACACAGAAAACTACATGTCTCCTCAAACTTTGACATCCACAAATAAGACACTTAGCATGCAAACCTTAAAAAGCAAACGAGTTAACCAGTGTTCCAGTTTAGGGCCCAGCGGTAACGCCACCACAGGTGAAGACTCGTTCCCTCCCCTGCCCCACCCCTCAGAAGCCTGGCAGGTGTTCACTGCCTCTTGCCCTTGACCGCCGACCTCAGCCCTTCATCCTATAAATGCTTGTTGTTGCTGCTGCTGCTGTTCCAAGAACGAAATTCTGTGGCTACTTGGTGACTAGCACTATTTGTGTATAGAAGAAGAGCAATGTACTTCTTAAGTACAGTTACGCTATTTTCTTTAAATATATTTTATTGGTTACAGAGAGAAGAAGAAAGAGGGAGAGAGAGAGAGAGAAACATCAATAATGAGAGAGAATCATAGATCGGCTGCCTCCTTCACGCCCCCTACTGGGGATTGAGCCCAAAATCTGGGCAGGTGCCCTGACCTGGCATCGAACCGTGACCTCCTGGTTCCTACGTGGACACTCAGCCACTTAGCCAGGCCAGCTGGGCCGGTTAACTGCTTTTGACATTATTCAATAGAGTGGATTTTGATCTTATAAATGACTTCTTATACTCTAACTAGTACATTATCTTGGCTTAGTGATTCCTATGATAAAAACTTTGCTTGAGCAGCTTTTCAGAAGCAAAGGCACACCCAGATATACCAAGCCAGGGTGGTTCCCTCAGCACTTGTGACACGTTATAGATGAAAATGACTAAGACATCTTATGAATTTGGATTTGCTCAGGACGTTTTGGGTAGTCATGGTGCAACTAACTGTTAAATCTGTCCTTGTGGCAGAGTCGGCGAGCCCAGAAGGCTTATTTTATTAGTCTGTCATAGGTGGGTTTTTCCACGGGACATTTGGGGTGACAACCTCACCCAGTACTCATCGGTTTTCAGCCAGGGGAGAGGAGGTTAAGGAACACACACCAGGAACCTCGATCCTCAACGAGCCTTTGTTGCTGCATTCCTTTATTGACACAACACAAATTGTTTCTTATTCCTTACACACTTAGAGTTCTGATTCATTAGACTCCAGTAGAGGAATTTGTCACCGTGTTCTTATTTTGACCCTGCTCACTGATGCCACCAACGTGAAAGTCACAGCTGAACTAGCATGTGAAGGTGAACCGTAGGGAATTGCTATTATTTTGCCATTTTGAGCTATAAAATGACAAGGTCATGTGGTTTAATTTAAGATTTTACTTTAGTCGATATCCAGTGTGTTCCTGATGGTGGAATTGGTACTATTTCTATCAGTCTGTGCATGGAATCCTGGGGCTTAGTTAGGTTCCCCATCATTCTGGAGAGAGTTCTAGTAAAACCCAGCCTGGCCACTCTGATGCATACCAGGGCCTCTTCCTAACTTCAGGCAACCCCCCCACTCCGCCCCAAAGGGGGCTTCAAGGAATTTAACAGCAGGCAGAGGCGAAACATTTCTTATCCTTCATTGCTGAAAGTACTAGGGCAGTTTTCACTTCATTTACAGCAGGCTATTTCTATATTTTGACTATGATGATATTTTGGTGGAAACTATATTTATATCTCAGTTGCACAGTGTGTAACAGTATCGAGTTCCAATTTACGTTGTTTATATACACATACAAAAATAAACATGTAATATATATTCTATAAACATAAACATGCATCTATAGTCTATAAACATAATACGTATACACATTCTACATAATATATAGCATGTATAAGAATGCAAGCATATGTATATATATATCACCGAGTATAACTGAAGAAAGAAATTGAGCAAAATTATAATTGGCAGGAAATGATAACTGATAGGAAGGATAGAGCTAGTAATAACTAATCCTTTAGTATTCATAAAACCATTTTAAAATAAATGAGCTACTCTACAACAAAAATTTTCTAAATGTTAATTGGTGGCTTTAGTCTCAATTTTTTGCTATTTTTAAAACTGAGGGTTGTCGTGTGTTTTTTTTCCCCTTGAGGAAGTTTTTTATTATGCACTTTAACAAGCCTGGAATAGAATAAGTAAAATGTTCTAGATTAGATTACATGTCTGCAACCTTCAAATAACCCTGTATCTCCTTTTTCCTTATGTTTTTACAGATATGGTCCGGAAAAAGAACCCCCCTCTGAGAAACGTTGCTAGTGAAGGCGAGGGCCAGACCCTGGAGCCTATAGGTACAGAAAGCAAGGTATCAGCAAAGAACAAAGCATTTTCTGCAGGTCAGATGTCAGAAAATACGGAACAGAGTGATGCTGCAGAACTAAATAATAAGGAGGAACAGAACTTGCATGTTCAAGATCCATCTTCCAGCAGTAAGAAGGACTTAACAAGCTCAGTCCTGAGTGAGAAGCCTGGCTTCAATTATGAAAGCCCCAGTAAGGGAGGAAACCTTCCCTCCTACCCACATGATGAGGTGACAGATAGAAATATGTTGGCTTTCTCAGCTCCAGCTGCTGGGGGAGTCGGTGAGCCCTTGAAGTCTCCTCAAAGAGCAGAGGCAGATGACCCTCAAGATATGGCCTGCACCCCATCCGGGGACTCCTTGGAGACGCAGGAAGACCCTAAGATGTCACCAAAGGCTGCCGAGGAAACAGGGCAAGCGCAGAGTGGTCAAGCCAATTGTCAAGGCTCGAGCCCAGTTGCAGTGGCCTCCAAAAACCCACAAGTGCCTTCAGATGGGGGTGTGAGACTGAATAAATCCAAAACTGATTTATTGGTAAATGACAACCCAGACCCGGCACCTCTGTCTCCAGAGCTTCAGGACTTTAAATGCAATATCTGTGGATATGGTTACTATGGCAACGACCCCACAGATCTGATTAAGCACTTCCGAAAGTATCACTTAGGACTGCATAACCGCACCAGGCAGGATGCTGAGCTGGACAGCAAAATCTTAGCCCTTCATAACATGGTGCAGTTCAGCCATTCCAAAGACTTCCAGAAGGTCAACCGCTCCGTGCTTTCTGGTGTGCTGCAGGACATCAACTCTTCAAGGCCTGTTTTACTAAATGGGACCTATGATGTGCAGGTTTGTGCTTTGTATTGTGATCTCTTTGTACACAAAAAGTTATTACTAATGAAATGTGAATTCTTACATGCATGTAAAAGTTACGCTCCCAATACCCAAGGGGTAGTAGCTGGCTAGATCCAGCAGAAAAGAGGAGCATGCTTCATTGGCTCTGTCATCCAAATGTGTAGTGAGGGTTATCTTTAGCCTCTCATCATGGAAATTAATCCCAATATTTCTATGATGTTGGGAAAAGTCTTTTCATGAAACAGCTAGGCTTTGGATGTGACCTCCTACATTTTTTAAAATATCAGTTATTTTTATCAACTCAATAGCTACAGTGCATTTGATCTAGACCTGTCTATATTTCATGGTTAATTTGATTTTTTTTTCAGTCTTCTGAAAAATGGTACTAATCTTTATGGGTCTACATGGTAGTGACTCATACTTTGTTCTAGTTTTAGATTGATTGTCTTTTGCTATAGTCTTTGTATAGTCTTTCCTTCAGTAAGGGTTTTTCCTGTGTCTTGGATTAGAATTTGATTTTATATTCAGCCCAACATCAACTTGGACTAGATTTAGGTCATGTTGACGGATAGAGATAAATTACTGAAAAGACAACATAATTGCAAGTGAAAATTTGGAAATAAAATGACATTGATGAAAAAGAAGTCAAGGTGATTGTAAGTACTTAGGGACACCGGAATGTCCTTGATATGGGCCAGTAAAGCATTCCTTTTTGCAGGTAAGGAAAATAATAATTTATGAAAGCATTTAGTAGTAATTTAGATATCTACTTTTAGTAAACGTGGCATACCTTTTTGATCTCCTCTTCTGTCTCTTGGTTACGGCATATGTACAATAAAAAAAAAGCCATTTCAAGTAGAGTGAACTGCAGAACAGACTCTAAAGAAATGTACTTATTTTATTTTAAGCATAGTCAAGACTCACGGTCAACTTGAGAAAACTAAATTAGGTTCTATTATAGTGTGTAGATTTTTATTGTGTTATTAGGCCAGATTTCAAAGCATATTAGGTTTAATATTAACCTTCTTTCGGGGTGATTAGAAGAAGTATCAGAGAACTAATGAAATCACATCACACTTAATTGGCTTCCTAAATTTTTGAAATTATCAAACGTTTTTATCAACTCCATAGCTACAGTGCATTTGATCCAGACCTGTCTATTGACTTAGTGTCAATCAAGCCAGGCAGGCAAGGGGGGTTATAAATAAGAGGTAGTGAACATATTTGCAATCCTTAGAAGAAGAATCAGAAGAGAAATTTCCAAGTCCTTTGAAAAGGTCACAATGGCAATCTTATCATTTTAAGGGAGATATAAAGAACTCTTGAAAAGCCAATTTCATCTTGTAAAGCTCTCTTAAAAATTCCATCTTACTTTGTGAATTTCCACAAATAGAATTATTTCCGTGGAGCAGCAAATTAAGTCAACATAGCTATTATGCATGAAAGCTACATGCTTTGAACTGCAGTCTCATTAAAGATCATTCCACTGCCTTATGTCAGGTACACTCTGCTGTCAAACTATGATTGTAAAATGTGTTTTAGATAAAAGGCCTAGAAGTGAATAATGTCAGTATGTGAAATGGCGTTTTATAATTAGCAAGTAATATGATGTTAATACCTGGATTTCCGGCTGGAGTTTCAGTTTGTTCACTCTGGGGACGACTTCTGAGGGAAGCTGATCTGGGCTGTCAGGAAGGCTCTAAAAGGAAGATTACTAAGGCCTATAGTTTGGAAGAATTCAGATTTTTAAACACACTTCCATTTCCCCCAAATGGTTATTTGTTAGGTTCTCAGTTATTTATAGTAAAGTTTATGTTTGGGTAGAATGAGCTGGACACTTTTCCTGGGCAGTGATCTTAGAAATAAAACAGATGTGTGAGCTATCTGAGTTTGAACTAATAGAACTAGAAATAAAACAGCTGATCCTCGATTGTGCTATCTACTAAATCCTTGCAGAAGCCCAGAGTAAAGAAGACAGAAAGTGGCAGGGAAGAACATACAGGAAGATAATCTTGTTAAGATCTATTTTTTTTCCCCTCAAAGAGAAATAATATGACTAAACAGAAAAAAAGCAATCTGTGGGAAAAGGGGGCAATTATTTCAGAAACACAACTGGATTCAGAAACAGGTCTAAAGAGAGTTAACTTTCTCCAATTTGGGAAGAGAACACCAAATATTCTTGTAGGCCAAATGCTAATCCTGACTACTTTGCACATATACCAGATGTTGATGCAAAAACATGTCTGAAGATAAGTAACTTGTTAATATTTTTATGCTGAGATAAATATTGAACAGCTTCCCTGGATGCATAAATCGAATAAAAGCACATCTGAAACTCCCCCTTTTTCCACACGTCTGTGTTGCTGAAATGCTGTTTGAGGGCTTCTCGACTTGTCACTTGAATTGTGTGGAGGCTAAGAGCTGTGGGTGATAAACTGCTGATGGTAGAATTTCTTCAATGCATTTTCATCAGAAATTTAGGGTATATTAATGGCATGTGTGTTCTGATAAAAAAAGATGTTGGTAAGTAAGACTATTGCAGACAGTAATCATTCAATTCTAGGAATTACTTAGATCAATCTGTAACTTAAGCTAATTGAAGTAACAGATGAGCAATTCATTGATCTTTTTCAATTAAGTTGGCTTTTTTTTTTTTTTTAACACTCAGGACAGTTGGTGGTTAATGATAGATTTATGACATTTTAGGCCAAGAAAAAAGGAACAGGAGACAGAGTACAGGACTTAAGAACTCTGTGGCTTTGATCTATATTTTGGTTTGACATGGTTGGTTTTAAATAATTTGATTTGCGTGCAAACATGAGATATACAGTTGGGAAGAAGAAATCATTTAAACAAATTTTAAGATTTCCAGTTCCAAGTTCAGATAACTTAACATATATTTGCAGGACTAATTGAAGTTTAGACATATTTGTACCGACAATATCCACCTCTGTGACAATTTTATTAGCAGTAATGAAGTCAAAGAATTACACATTTGTAAAAAGAATGTCAAATAGCAGTGTCACTTTGCACTGCAAGGTAGATAGAGCCTCAGCTGGATAATGGAAGTCACTTTAAAGGGCCATTATAAAACCGGGATAGACTTTTCTGAGTCTGTGGAAATCAAATGCGCACACCACCTTGAGGTGTGTGCCCCGCCCTGAAATCAGAAGCTCTGTGGATTCTTTACCAAGAAAAACTAGAAAAGATACATCAGCTAAATGATAGAATGCAGATATGTTCACTAGCTCAGAGCTACGTGACTTGACCTGGATATTAGTTCCTCAGGTTTTAAATGTTCCCTGCCTGTTTTTATCAATGATTATGCTTAAATCTTTAAAAATAATGGATGTGGCGTGATTGGTAAGCCCTTCATGTAATTTTTACTACCTATATTCAGACTTTGAGGCTCACAGAGAGAGCAATAATAGGACAAGAGATTGAGTTCTTCAAAAAGTAATTACAGCTTCTTTCTTTTTAATCTGCTTTATTATGCTTATATTTAAACCATCGTCGAATGGAGGCCTGAGTTGTTAAACACGGACTGTGCTGTTTCATTAGGGCTTAATGTGCTGCGCATCAGGACGTTTGTGTCATCTTTATGGGGGACTCTGAGCCCTTAGACCAGGTTATAAAAGTTGGAGTCCTGTCAAGTTGTGCTTCCCACGGGAAAGTGGTTAGTTATCCCGAGTTTATAAGTGCTCACGATGTGTATGTTGCCTTTTCAGATGACTAAGCCTTTTTCTGCGATTCCACATTATTCAGGACTCCAAGAAGGTAGCTATCAGATTCCAGCTATTAAGTTCATTTTGGCCCTTCATGAAATTCTAAGGTTCCCCAAAGAATGACACTATTAACTTACCAGTAACTGTCTTGTGTTTGATCTAAGAGCACTGCATTTCTGTTCTGTAAATATTTTTATCAGAGTTGCACAATATGTCATGTTAGAAGCAGGAAGAACAGATTTTAGAGATAGGAAGTCATCCTTTGTATCCATATTTTCAACATATTTAACTCTGAGCTTTAAAGATCCTTAACATATGCCAGTACATTCATTTGAACAGGGGGTTACAGTTTGGTCTTGGGAAAAAAAAAATCAGAGAACATTAATCTCATTTGGGTCTATTTTGACTTTTCTTGAATTTTATTTCCAAATATTTATTTTTTGCCTCGCAGTTTCCTTTGATCTGGAGTAGGAGGGAAGTTGTAGATCTTAGCAGGTTCTGTTTCTTTGTTTTTTCTGAGTTGAGGACAATTGTACTTCAGAACAACTGGTGAATGAGACTTTAATCACTTCAGACTGTCTATAGAGTACCGAGTGTTTGGCATATAACCCATACTTGTATTCAGGACTGTGTCTCTTTAACAAGTAATAAAGTGTGCAAAATAAAACATATGCTCACCCTAAGGCCATAAAACAAAGCAAAGTTCTGGCATTTACCAGACTATTTTCATCCTGGAGACGGCCGAGCTGGATAGTGCAGCCACCCAGGTGGAGTAGAGTAGCTGGACCATCTTCACTAATCCCTTTACCTGCATGATGGTTAAATCTCCATTTGGCTGTGTTACATGAGGGTCAGGAGGATAAATGTCAATGCCTCTTTGATTTGGGGTTTATGTGCTATTGTTTAAAGAACATGTATCACTTTCTTGAATGTCAGTATTTCTCTCTGGGCAGAATGTTTAGAAGAAGTAATGGTTATCAGTGCATCCAATTGAATTTAATGTTATTTAACTCAATAAAAATTCTATCCTCTAATGGCTTGCTCTTCTAACCTTATCAAGTCACTGATTATTTAGTGCTTTTTGTTTCTTGGGTCATTGTAATTACCTTATACATGCAGCTGTTGGAAACACGGGATTATAAGTAGTGTGCTAACCACAGGAAAGTTTGGAGAAAGAGTAATTCCCTCTCATTTTTCAGTTTCCTTCCTGGAGTCTATTTCTGAGACTTGTTAGGCCATAGACCTCTTGAATTCTTCATCCTAGGATTT